TTGTCTTGTCAATGTCAAAACAGCACTATATTTATACTGGATTACAATTGCATGTAGATCACAAACTAATTTGCTAAAAGCATTTGCTCCAGACATCCAACTCAGATTTAATGATTTACAATATGATTGGCCTTTTATTATAAAAAAAACCAATAAGTTACATCTTATTGAATGGATGTAGAAACATATGTCAGAAAGAACTCACCAGGCAACTTCTGAAGATATTATATAATAGAATTATTATAGAAGATTAGAAGATGTGACAACTTCCAATGAAACTCTTTTCATGAAAGAGAATACAGAAGAAGAAGTAAAAGAAGAATTCAGAAGAGATTCTATTTTCATCAAAGTTAGCTCAGAAGATACCTTTAAATCTTTCTTTCTTAAAATATCTGGATGTGTACCAATCAATGTCTATGCATGTTTTAAAAAACTTTACCCTTGTTCAGAAATAGAAAAGAAAAGTTTGCTAAAGTTCTACTTAAAATTATATGGGCTTGAAAGTAAGGCTGATATGTCTTTTAACAGTTTATGGAACTACTATTCTGATACAAAAAAACTCTTTTCTGATATAACTGCTAGAAATATATATAAGGTAGCAAACTATTGTATTATAGATGCATTGCATTGCCAAGAACTCACAGTCAAACACAATGTAATTAATGATTATAGAGAAGTTGCCTCTATAGCTTATATATTTTTATTTGATACACATTATCATGCAAATGGAATGAAGGTAAAGAATCTTTTGGCACTTATACCACCAAACACAATATGTTATTTAGTACAATTTGCTACAAAGATAAAGAAAAGGGTAAGTATCCAAAAGTATATGTTTTTTCTTCAATAAAAGGTATTGAGAATAAGTGTTCTGTTACAGGTCTTGATTTTACCTTATTATATCCCAGCCTTATCATGGCTTACAATCTTTTATCTGAAAAATTAATATTAAGCCATGAAGAGGCTAATAATATATGTGAAAGAGCAATTGAATTATATGAGATTAAATTTCTATTTAATGGGCATATTCTTTATGCCTGAACCATCCATTATAGCAATTGTTCTGAGAAAAAAGAATTATATCCTACTGTTCTAGAGGATCTGTTTAATAAATGAGTAAACCTTAAATCAAAGTTTGCCATATTACGAAAAGAGAAGGAGTGTTTTGAAAAGCTTATAAGCACCATAAAAAAGAAGGGTAAAATTATACTAAATGCTTTAAAATCAAAACATGATTCTCTATGCTCTGATTATAATTGCTTAAACTCAAAACAATTTGCTTTAAAAGTGTATATGAATACATTTTATAGCAAGACAAGTTATAGTAACTCTCATTCTTTCTTCATGAATTAGCTGAAGGAATTACTTCAGTGGGACAATACAATATTGGTCTTGTTGCTAGATTCATTATAGCGAAAGACTTTGGGATCAAGTATAGTGACACTGACTTTTTATATCTTACCTGTTCAGATAAGTATTACAAAAAATGCGATAGAGATTATAATGAAAACAAGCTTTCCAAAGAGGCATATTGGAGTGAAATGGTAAAAATTACTATAAAAGTGATGGATAAATTTTGTAACAAAGTAAATGCTTATCTTAGAATAAAAAATAGTACCTCTTATCTAAAGATGGCATATAAGGAAGGATTGTTCTTTGTATGTTTTATTGGTAAAAAGAAATATTTTGGAGTTGCACATGAGAAAATAGTAAATTTCAAGCCAAAAAAACTATTTACTAAAGATATTGATACTGTAAAGCAAGATCAAATGGAGCTTTTCAGATTCATTGGAGAGAAAATCATAAGAAAGGTAATGAATATCAATAATACATGCACAATCCATCAAATTATCAAAGATACTATTAGAGAAGCTAGTGAAAAGCAATGAGATTTTAACTAATTTGTTGCAATGGCTATATGAAAGCCTAATAAAGATAATAAATATACTTAGCACTTTATGGAACAAATAAAAGAAAATTATAAAAACAAGATTCCTAATTCAGGTAAGTACTTTAGTTATGTTGTTGTGAAAGGTAAATGGTATTATGATAAAAATAGTCAGTTAATACTATATAGAAATGCTGACTATATGGAGTTTTTTGATACTGCAAAAGAACAAAATATGAAAATAGATATCAATTATTACTTAGAAAAGACAGTTAAAATATGTATACACTTTATCAATGAGGATGAAGAATATTAACTATCTTTTTCATATAAAATCACACAACTTAAAGATTCAGATGAAAAAGAGAAGCAAATTGATGTCTATTCCCAGAATAAGGCAAAAAAATGACTTAAAAAATATATAAAAACTTTACAATAAACATTTTTCTAAGACACACCTATTTCACAAATTTCTGTACTTAATATTTTATTGTATCTATAAAATGCAAGACGGTATTGACACTAAAGCTTTGGCATATGCCCAAAAACAGGAAGACAAGTGCTTAGCAAAAGTTAGTTCTAATATATATTTATAGATATACAAAAAGGGTCATCAATAGGAGGCATCCTATAAAAATATGAAACAGAATTATAGATGGTGCAATATTTGTTTCAATGTACTGGAAAGAACATATTAGTATATATTTGAGGATTTATTAAATAAAAAATTCTTATTCAGATAACCTAAATTCTTGGAGAGATTACATCTAGATAGATATAATAAAGAGCTAAGCTTGGCTTTCGAATATAGTGGTAATTAATATTATCAAATTGTCTTTTTTTTTCACACACAAAGGCAGATGAATCTAGATGCACAAATTTGTTATGATTAGGAAAAAAGTATGTTATGCTACAAGGAAAGAGTGATTCTCATTACTATACCCTACTGTGTAGTAGACTTAGAAATATTTATAAAGAGTGCCTTATATGCATTCGGTTATCTCTCAATATCCACCTAGAAGGCAACATAAGCTCTTTCTTAATATGCATTAATTGTTCTCTTACAAAGAGACACTATGATCCCAATTTATCTAAATAATATAAAATAGGCATAAGAAGATTTTTTTCAACAACAATTCTTCAGATTTTATATAGACTGAGAGACTATATTAGATCTGTAATTCTGCATTGTTCAAAAGGATCATTTTCTTATTCTCCAGAAGCAAGCAAAAATCAGATAGTAGTACTCTTTGATAGTCACAGTTTATTAACATCTATTGGATGATTAATTTTACCAATAGTTTGAAATACACTCACTCAAGTTTTGTGGCATCATTGGGACTCATTCCAATTAACTGAATAGGAGTATCATTCATGTTATTAACAATTCTTCTTGCAAATCATTCACATTCTTTACAGCATTTACCAGTAAGTAAGAGAAACTCTATCACATATTGATTTTTAAAAACTCTTAATTCAAATAATCCAACATAACAATCAACTATAGCCAAGCTTATATGCCTGAAACATGCTTTAGTTCTTTGAATATTAACATTGTGTTCATCCATTATCAATATTATGCTTCTCATGAACTTATGACTTTTATCATATTGCAATAGCTGAGCCCAGTTAAGAGAATTGTCAGGATTATTATATATACTCTTAAATGTTTACACAACTTCTTCACTACTTTTTGATGTTAAAAAAATGAAATCTTTATATCTTGTCATGCAGTCTATAACCAATAGTACATAGTAAAATATTAAGCTATTATCCAACAAACCTATATCTATATCTTTATCATATGGTATTTTAATTAAATCATACTAATGTACAGAATTTGGTTTTGTAATTTTAGAATAACTGATATAAGGTATATTCTTTAGTGGAGGATGAAAAATTTGATACATTGCTTGGCCATCAAGCTATTTTTTTACATCATTAAATAGAAATTTATAGTTAGCTTTTTTATAAGCATCTGTTAATATTTTGATAAAGACCCTCAGGCCAATAATAAAGCTCTTGTAAAGTGGGATTCTGGTCAAGATTATATGCTTTTTAAGAATCAATAATAATCATAGATTTTGGTAATAACAAATTTCTGAGACTGCTAGTCCTAAAAAAATCTTTAACTTTTTTTCTCTTAGCAATTTCTCGATCCAGTTCATATGCTTTTTGTGGATCAATATAAATCAAAGGTTTTTCCATTATACTATAGTAAAAAAATATGAAGGAATTACAGCAAAGTAATCAAGAACTCCATAAGGTAGTATCACAATTAGTGGAATCAAATAGAAATTTCAAACAGCATCTATATACCTTAAAAAGAATTATTGGCATACTAAAGAAAAGAATACAGTTTCTTGAAGAAGAGTTAAATAACACTATCAAAGCTTCTATAGAAGAGAAAGAGAAATTAAAAGAAAAGATTTCAAAACTAAAAAGAATCGTTTGCTTGCTTGAGAAAAAAAATAAAAAGAAAGATAAAGAAATTTCAAATAAGAATGAGTTAATAATAAAATTTGATGAACGAGAGACAAAATTAAAAAACTGAATCAGGAGATTTCCAAATCTGCCAATAATACAAGATTATACAACCAGATTAGTAGATGAGAATGAATGGCTTAAACAAGAATTAAATACAATAAGAACCAATCAAATAATTAGAATTAACAAAATAACCCAACAAAAAAACTGTATTATAGACCTGCTTTGTCAAAATTTTGTATTAGCATTATTAAGATATTGAGATAGATTAGAACTTAGAAATATACAAGAGGCTTTACAAAATGCACAGGCATAGAATTTTGGTAAAAATAAATTTGATTCTGATGAAAATTCTCTAGACTTGTATAATTCTGATGATAATATGGCCACAATAGCCAAGTTGGCTAATGCAATAGACTGATTCCTAAATGATACAACAACATATAGAACTGGTTTAACAAATCAAATTAAAAGATCAACAAGATCAATCTGACATAAATATACTAACCTGCAACAAGAACTGGTGAATGAATGATAGAACTATGATATATATAGGCAGGAGCACAATCAAGCAGTGCAGAAGCATAATTAGTTACAGACCAATGCTCAGAATCAAGTAAACAAAATGATAAATAATATAGCAAGAAAGCAAACCTATATCAGTAAATTGCTAGAAGAAAAGCTAGCCCTTCAGCTAATATATCAAAGGTGCAAAGCTGAGGTTGACTTGGCAGAATTTAATCGAGTCTAAGTATTTAATCAGTATCAAAAATAAAAGGTTCATGAAATTAATTCTTGTCAGAATATTTTAATTTTAAATCAGCAAATTTTGGTGCTATATAATAATTAACAAAATTGAAGAAATATAGCAGAAATACTACAACCATTTTTTAACTAGGGTAATGATATCCCAGATTTTCTTGTGAAGCTAAGATTATACTTGCAAAACCAAGATGTAAATCCAGCAGATAATGCAGGAGGTTCACCAACAGGAAGAGAAGTAGCTATAGGATATTTAAGAGGCTGTATAAGAGGAAGAACTTTAAAATGGTTTGATGAAGAAATTACTACAAAGCAAAATTAAGAATTAGCAAACTTACTTAATAATACTGGACAAGCTAACATAGTAGCTGTAAATGAATGTACAGCTATTCAGATAGGAGCTAATAGAATAAACAAGGTTCTTAATTAACCAGGAAATGCAATAGTTAAGTTAAGAGCAGTAGAAGATTCTTGGGATGAAGACTGGCATATAGTGAAAGCTAATCTACTAATAATGCTTCAAATGCTCCTAATGCTAATGCTAGTAATATTATAGTTGTATCTGAAATTTGTTTTGGTCAAGTCATATAGTAGTTAAAAACTCATTTTTCTACAGTAGAAGAGGAGCTTTGGAATATAATGTATGGAACAATTGGAAAGGAAAACATAAATATAGATGAATTATATAGAAAAATATTATGAATAGGTAGATGAGCCAACTATAGATCTAAAGAATTATATAAAAAGTTCTTAGATGCTCTTCCACTTTCATGGCTTGAAAAAGTTGAAAATATCGATGAACATTTGCTATTGGATGAATTAGCTAAAAAACTTTATGAGATAGAATTACACTGAATAGCTAGACATAAAAGAGATAGAATATCGATCTATTAGTTTCTCAGCAAGCATCTTGAGAAATATATGAACCTTTACCTATTTTAGCTCCTCAACAGCAAGGAATTTCTTTAAAAAATATGCAAAAAGCAATCCAAAATGCACTAGCATAGCAAAAAACTGAATATCAGTCTTTATTAAAAAAGCAAAAAACTAATTACCAATCACAAATAATCCAGCAAGCTGTTGCTCAAAAAGCACAAGCACCTGCTCTACAGATAGTAGAACCAGTTAAACAACAGAGAAGTCCCTCATCATCTTTGCAATCAGAAAAAAGTTTCAAAAATTATTATGTAGCCGAATATTTAAAAGAATTAGATTTATTAAATAATAATGATTTAGACTCAACTTATTCTGTAAAACCCTTTCAAAGACCTTGTCCTCAATGAAATAAAATTTCTGCTAAGATTGATAGAATAGAAAAAGCAATCAATGAAGATAGAGATGTGATAAATCAATTAACTAATTAATTTCAAAAAGTATACATATGTAAATATGTTATTTGTGAAGAGACAGGCTATAGTAAAGATAGTTGCCCTAATAAACAAATAGCATAATCTAATTTCAATCAGTCTGCTTATTTTAAGCCTCTTATGCCTATAAATTTCTAAAACACACTCTCTGATTCGGATAATAAGAAAGAAGGTTATAATGAAGAAAATAATAGGTGGACTGGATATGATCTACTAATAAAAAAAACAGATATCAATAAAAATAACAAGCCTGAAACATATAATCAGCTATTGTCTAAGCTTTTACCACTGATACAAAAAATGTACTTGTTTCAAAAGGCTCTGAAGAAGGAGTTAAAAAAATCAGATAAGTGGTTTTTATCTTTACAGTACTTGCATTGTAATATAAATGATCTATTGATTTCTGATTCTTTTTTAGATACTGGAAGTAAATTTAGTAGAATAAATGATCCAGCAATTTATGCATTTGGATAGAAGATTGATAAGCCATTTGATTTTGCTATAAAGAGCAATTCCAAACATATTACTAATTTATTAGAATGGTACACAGATGTGCCAGTTATTATGAAGGACAAAGAGGGAAAGACAGTCATGGTTATTGGAAATTTTGTATATATAGATAATGGCAAACCTGAACCAATGCTATTTTTAAGTATGTCTAATATTCAAAAGCTTCAAGGTGTTTCTGAGCCAAATAAAAACCAGTTTTGTATAAAGTTACATGAGAAGACTTATGTTATTTCAACATATAGCAAGGCCCCAGTAGCTAAACAACTGTCAAAAGAGGAGCAAAACCAAGTATCTACTGATTCCTCTAGTCTGATTAGTAAAAACTTAAAAAAAAGTATATAAACTGCATAAATTCTGCTTTAGTGTCTTTGGGTGAGGATATGGGAATTTGTATAAAAGAGCTTGAAAAAGTACTATTTTCTAGCATTCAATCGAATTTGAAAATTATAGAATACTACAATATTTTGCTTAATCGATATAAAAAGATTTCTTTAGAACCAAATAAGATTGAATAATTATTTAGAAATAAGAGCATGACCAGATGCTCTAATTTTCTCTATTTCAGAACTAGCTTTCTTATACAAATTCAAGACATCTTTAGAGAATTCAGTAGATGAAATATTTTTTTTTGTTCTAGGCATTGGTTGATTCTAAGTAATAGTTGCTTTAGAGGTGCTAGTGGACTTGGTATAATCCCTTTGGGACTATTTCTTTCCTTTACTCTTTTTTGTCTTACTATCTACACTTTTTTTTTTTTTTTAAATATTAAAGTGAGTACTTATGACCCAGGATTTTATTGATAGTATATTTGGCTAATGATTGCATTACAACCACAGAAGGCAACTATGGGAAGAGTGTACAACTAGCCACTCGTACAACTTTAGTCATTGTCTAATTTAAGTAGTCCGCCCGAAGGTTCTA